TGGTCTCCTTCCACCCTTAGGGAGGAAATGGTGGGGGCTGCTTTCTGGGATCTCCTGGGCTCTGCACCCACCTCACATAAGAGGGAGGGTGGGATGCTATCCTCTTCCAGGGTTCTGAAATGCTTCTTTACAGACCTTTGTACAGATCTGAGATGAACATCGGCACCCTACTTCAGCAGTGGCTAAACTTGTCGTTTGCAAAAAAAGAAAAAAGAAGGGGGGGCAGCTGAGAAAAGAAAGATTCAGAGCATTTGCAGTCTTGGTCTGTGAGCAGCAAAAACAAAGAGAGAAAGTGGCTGAGGTGGGGGGAGAGAGGGGGGAATTTTGGATGCTGCCCAACACCTATTAAGGAATTTGCAATCCATTGTAAGGGAAGGAGGACTGAATTCACTGTAGGCTTTTGTGAAGGCAGGAAGGAAAGAGGATGTACCAGTATGGAGGATAAGTACTGTGGAGGAATGAAAGTGTGTCTGTGTGTGGTACTGAAGAGTGTTCTCTATGAATGAAGAGAGGAGAGTAAGCGCAGATGTAGGTCCTTTATTGCACTTCAGATTTCACAAATTTCATGAGCTGACGTGTTGGAAGTAAAAAGATGAAGAAAAACAGTGTCTTTGCTCCTCTAAATCCTCCTCTGTATATTTTGATGATGACTATACATTGATCCACTAATATCCCCATGAATATACACTGGGCTGTTGATGTTGTTGATGATAGGTATACGTCCTACTAATCCTTCCAGAAACTCAGTTTAGCATGCTGAGTTGGTCCTTCATCCCCACCCAATTTTCGCAACAACTCAGTGGGATAAATTGGACTCAAGCGTAGTGTCTGGTTTAATGTCACCTGGTGAGCACCAGGACTGAATGTGAATTCAAACCTCGGTTTGAGTCTAGGAATGATAAGCCTGAGCCCCTTCAGATGTTGTTGGACCCCATCAACTGCAGCCAGCAGGGCCAAGGATTATGAGACGGGTAGTCGAACTACACCTGGAGGCCCACAGATTCCCCATTCCTGCCTCAGGTCCTCACAAGCATTCAGCCTTCTACATCTCAAAGGGAAAATGGCTGAATAGCCTATGTTGACTTTAGTAAGGCATCACTGCAAAGTACACCACACTTCACAGATGCCTGGTTCTTGAGATCTTCCTTCTTCTGTGGAAGGAGAGACCCCCCCTCAGGCCTCGGGGGTCAAATGTGTCCCCCAGACCTCTCTGTATGCCCCTTGGGATTCTCCCAAGGCCACACACCCTCTTTCCAGGCCACACCCCTTGCCTGTCCTACTTCATACCCTCCTTGAGTGTTTTTGCCAGTCTTTGAACTTTGATAATGCCTATTGGCTGCCTGGATGGAGAGTGGAGATGGGTGTGTGGCTATGTGTAGAAACTAGCCTATTGAACAAAGGTATGATTTACGTTCATAGTTCTGACCACTTTTGCCTCTTGTCCCACCCACCACTGGCATGTGACCCCCCAGGAGGTTGCCCAAATGGGAATGTGGCCCTCAATCTGAGAAAGGTTCTTTGTTGTGTAGGATCACCAAAACTGAGTGGAGAGGGGAGATGGAAGTAATAATGGAGGATCAACATCTATTCCCCCAACTGTATCCAGAAAAAAATTATATTCTTATGAATTGGGGGGTGGAATTGGGACCCTTCTAACCCCTGGTTAAAATATAAGCCAGGCTAGCTTCCTGATGGGCTGATTGCTTGGGTGATGGCCCATTAGGAGAACAAAGCGAAAGGGGCTCTGTGTGAGATGACAAATGGGTGGGGCCCCTCCCTCAACTCAGAGTTAGTTAGAAGGACAAAACTTGAGTTTGAAGTAGAGATTTGGGGCTGTGATGGGTGTTGGGGTATATTCATAACCAATTGGGGGTTTTCAGAGCCCTGAAACCTGTTGAAGTTTTTCTAGGGAATGAAAACTCCTATCCTTGGATCCAGTACACTTCCAAGTACCAGGCCCCTTTGTAGCAGAGTACCACACAGCCTCCAAGCATGTAGGAGTTCCAAGTCAAGCATGGAGAGTCAAAATAAATCACAGGAAACATTCAAATACAGCTCTGATAGAGGATCTGCTTAAACTGACCTGGGCCCAGCCGTAAAAGCTGCCAGACCCTCTCTCACATCTTCACAGTATGATAGTAGAGTTCAAACATTTCTCTCTGTTCAGTCCAAAAACTGTGCATGTGTAGCAATATTCTTCAGAGTGTCCTTGCACCTGTCGTAAAGACTAAACATTTCTCTCTGTTCAGTCCAAAAACTGTGCATGTGTAGCAATATTCTTCAGAGTGTCTTTGTAAAGAAACCAGCTTCTCACTGCTTCTGGAAACTTCACATAGTTTAATACACACAGAATGTTCTTTCTGGGAATGATTGACCCTCATTCCAACAATGTGAACTAGACTAGAGGAAAGGCAGCAAGCTGGAGAGAGAGTCAAGAGCACAATATTCAATTTCAGTTTGAATCCAAGGCTGAGGCTATGGGAAAACCAAGACCCTCTTGTGGGTGTTGATGCTGTGAACCCCTCCATCGTAGCCCCAGGTTGTATATATGTGTAAATAAACCATATATAATAAAGACACCACAGTCTCTGCCATGCTCATTCCCAAAACACAAACCCTGAGTAAGCACCTGGAACACCCGGAATCTCATACTGCTTAGAGATTGGGTTGGTGTGCAACAATATGTTAGGGAGGGTAGGCTTTGCAGACACTGCTTCGTGCCTGAGAGGTATGGCAAGCAATTTGCCAGAGAAACTCATTTCAGGAGATGTGTTCAAAGTTAATTAAAGATGGCTAGCTCGGGGTCATTGCCTTGGTAACAATTAACAATTGGAAGGATGCCTCATTAGGGACAGTTTTAACAAAAAAATATTATTTTTGCATCAAGAAAGTTTCTTGTGCATGGAGAAAATATATTTCTCCTTACCCCCCCTTTCTTTCTTTCTTTCTCTCCCTCCCTTCTTAATCATCCCAGAATACTTCATTGTGATAAAGGAATATTAAGAGTGGAAACAGGGGTAAAAAGGGGAGATTGAAATAGTTAATTTTAGTTAACAAAATTTACATACTGCTTGATTGTAAGAAAACCTCTAAACAAGGTACAAAAATATAAAATGAAGCGTTAAAGTTATCAATAAAAACAGTTAAAAATAGCTATTGTTGGAGTGTTAATGCTTTGAGACCTTCCATTTTATGCCTAGGTTGCAGATACAGTGGTACCTTAGTTCTCAAACACCTTGGTACTCAAACAACTTTGAACCCAAACACTGCAAACCAGAAGTAAGTGTTCTGGTTTGCAAACTTTTTTAGGAAGCTGAACGTGCTCCGTTTTGAGTGTTACGCTGATGATTTGAGTGCCATACTTCTGTTTTGAGTGTTACACTGAGGTCTGTCTGTTTTTGCTATTTATTTTGTATTTTTGTTTTTGTGGCTCTTTTCGTTTTATTTTTGTGACTGTGTGGAACCCAGTTCAGCTATTGATTGATTGATTGATTGATAGTGTGACTGCAGTACATTGTTTATTGCTTTCATTTTATGGATCAATGGTCTTGTTAGATAGTAAAATTCATGTTAAATTGCTGTTTTAGGGGTTGTTTTTAAAAGTCTGGAACGGATTAATCCATCTTGCATTACTTTCCATGGGAAAGTGCGCCTGGGTTTTGGAACGCTTTGGTTTTGGAACGGACTTCTGGAACAGATTAAGTTTGAGGACCAAGGTACCACTGTACATGTAAATAAAACCGTATCTCCTAAAAACACCACCATCTCCACAGATCTTGATTCCAAGGAGACCGAACCCTAGGTAAGCATTGGAACCTTTGGAGTTTCTCACCGCTCAGAGACTGAGGTGCATGTAACAATATTTTCTCATTACATGCGGAACTTTCTCACACTCTAAGACAGCCTCGCTGCTCTCAGGAGAATGAAAGGGAATCTGAAGGGTGATAGGCAGCCAGAGATTCAGCCTGTGAGCTACCACCGATACCAGGCCTCCCCAGTTGGTATACCTGGCTGTATTGGCCAAGCCACATCATGTGGGGCGTAGATAAAGTCATGGCTTGGCCAAAAGTAGGGTTTTCTGGCACCACTGATCACCATCTCTGACCACTGGCCATGCTGGCTGGGGCTGTGATAGATGAAATTCCCGGTAGAGCGATAAATGCTCTGCAAGCTAATAGGAGCTCACATATTACAGGCTGCCTTAGGCGCATCCTAGCTTTGATCTGCCTCCAGGCTGCCTCCCTTTCTCTCTCTCCTGCCAACCCTGCACCCCTCTCTCCTTCAAGTCTCTCAAAGAACAGCTCTGTCAGGCTGTAATTCCTCCTCTGACAGCAAAGGACGTCTTGATGGATGGAATATCCCTTCCTCTGATGAGGCTCAGCCGTTTACAGAGGCAACCAGTGTGAGGGAGTTGGCAGTAATAGCAATGTGCCAGGAAGTGTTTCTTTGCATGCACTCAGAGGAGACAAACGCTAGTCCAGGCATTCTAATTTTGTTCTACAAAAGCCTACAGTGAACAGAGTCCAAGCGTCACTATCAAGCCTTCCTGGCTTCCTCCAGGAGGCTCTTTTGCCAAGTCTTTGAGAGTAAGAGCATAGGTAGCAACCAAAGAGCTCAAGTGTGTCCAAGTCATTTAGGACTTCTTGGTGAGCACATATCCATGGTGGCGACAGTGTCGCCATGCTTTCACTCCTGGGTTTCCCACAGGCATCTGGGTGGCCACTGAAAGAAGAGGATGCTGGACTTGATGGGACTTGAAGATCCAACAGGGCTCTTCCTATGTTCTTAATCTGCAATTTTTTAAAAGAAGAAAATCTGCACGAAAAGGTTGCATTAAATACACATTTTATCATGAACACATTCTACCTCAGTGTATGCATTTCTGAATATATTTTATCCAGAATAGAATAAATAAAAATGTTCAGATGTAAGATCTGATATAACAGATGTGTTTCCCCCCTTGTTTTTGATCTATAGAAAAAGAACATAAGAGCCCGTCAGTCTGGATAGCTCAGCTGGTTAGAGCATGGTGCTGCTAACGTCAGCGTTGCAGGTTTGATCCCTGTATGGGGCAGCTGCATATTCCTGCTATTGCAGGGGGTTGGACTAGATCAGGGGTCCCCAAACTAAGGCCCGCGGGACTTGTTTATCCGGCCCGCGGCAACCCTGCTGCCCGCTGCCACCGCCCGCTCTTACCGGCGCTGCGCGGCTGCCCACTTCCGTGTTGGAAGAGCACCGGAAATAGCTTGTGCACATGCACAAGCATTATTTGCACATGCACAAGCGTTATTTCCGGTGCACACCTGGGTCGGAGGAAGCCCGTGCACATGTGCACAAGCTATTTCCGGTGCTCCTGCAACCCAGAAGCGTGCCAGAGATAGCATGTGTGCAGGCGTATGGGCATGCGCTCCTCCGCCCTCCGGCCCGCCACGCGATCGGTGCTGGAGACACCGGCCTGAGGCGCGGTACGTTTGCTGACCCCTGGACTAGGTGATCCTCAGGATATGTTCCAACTCTCCCATTCTATGATTCTATGCTGGACCAGGCTAATGTCCTGCCTAGTCTAGCATCCTTTCCCCACAGCAGCCAGCCAGTTGCCTGTGGGAAACCAGGAAGTGGGACCTGAACACAAGAGCGCTCTCCCCTCCTGTGGTTTCCAGCGACTGGTGTTCAGAAGCATTGCTGCCTCTGACCATGGAGGCAGAGCACAGCTATTGTGGCCAGCCATTGAGGGCCTTCTCCTCCATGAAGCATAAGAACTGCAAGATCTAGAAGTGAAGCTTATGAGAATGAGCCGTCTAGGCTTAATGGCTCTGCCTTATCTAGAATAAGGTATGTATTCCGCCGCCCCCCTGCCCTCTCATCACAAAGCGACAGGAGCCCTTTCATGCGCTGACCGTGTGGGCAGGGGAAGGAGGGGCTGAGAACAAGGGATAAAGGGCCGGACAGTTTGTTCATCCCACAATGGAGCCCTTGACCGGCCGCAATGTGGTCTCCTTGTAACCCTCAGGAGAGGTGACCTTGGAGGGGCTTTGCTCATTGTGGACACTCCATAAAGATGTTATGAACTGGGAACATGGAGAGGGGTGGGGTGGGGTGGGGGGTGAGTGCAATTTAAAACCAATTAGGAAGCTGTAAACTGCCCTGGCCCTTGCAGTTCATTAGGCAACCACAAAGCAACTTTAGTTTAGAGGTTGGAGTTCCTTTCAGAAATCGGGGGGGGGGGGGAGAGAGAGAGAGAAAACTTTTAAAAATATGCAATTGGCTCGGGGAGCCAGGACCCAAAGGGGAAGGCAGAAGCAGCAAAGGAAACAAGTGCCTTAATCAGTACAAATTCCCTAATTTATTTATGTATTTATTTCGATTTCAAAGCGCTGCCGTTCCTCATATACAGCCCTTTAGAAGCACAGCTATTCTCCTGATGCAAGAACCAGCCCATCCTGTGTTTATTTGCCTTTCAGAAAAGAAGCTCTCCCTGCCCCCACCCCCCAAAATAAGCCAAGGAATTTATACCTCCCAGTCTTCCAAGTTTCTCTTGCAGGGATTTTAACAGTAAGGCTTGTTTTTTTTTAAATATCTCCCCCCCTTTTTTTCTTTAAAAGCAGAGAGAAATAGCCTCCCCTTCTAGCTGCATTTGCGAAATAACAAATGGTAGCATTTAGCACTTCTACAGCACCTTCCTTCTTCAAAGGCTGTGCAAATTGTTAACAAAACAGAATGCTCTGCTCTTTCTGTCTCTATGGAGTTTCGCAGGATCCTTGAGAAAGATAAAGTATAGGCATAGAACGGGCAGGCGGCAGCAGTTTAGGTTAGCCAGGAAAGAAGTCTGGGCAATTAAGGGGTGGAGCTCCTTTGTTTCAGGGAGAGGTTTGGCAAGCACAGCTTCTCCTAACAAGGGAACCAGTGTGGTGTAGTGGTTAGAGCAGCAGTCAGCAACCTTTTTCAGCCATGGGCTAGTCCACCGTCCCTCAGACCTTGTGGTGGGCCGGACTATATTTTGAGGGGGGAAATGAACGAATTTCTATGCCCCACAAATAACCCAGAGATGCATTTTAAATAAAGGGACACATTCTACTCATGTAAAAATATGCTCATTCCCGGACCGTCCATGGGCCAGATTGAGAAGGCGATTGGGCTACATCAGGCCCCCTGGCCTTAGGTTGCCTACCCCTAGGTTAGAGTGTTGGAGTAGGATCTGGGAAAGGCTAGGGTTCAAATCCCACACTCAGCCACAAAGCTCACTGGCTGACCTTTCGCCAGTCACTGCCTCTCAGCCAAACCTCCCTGGCAGCAGTGGTGTAGCAGGGGTGGTTGCCCCAGGAGCAAAATGGTTAGGGGTGCAAAATTTCAAAACCCAGTACTGCCTCAATACAGCTGTTCACTTCCGTCTCTGGACTTCGTTGAAAACGGCTTCTCCATTCTAACCAGGAAGTGACCTCTCCAGACAATGGAACAACTCTTCTTTTCTTATCTCTGCAGCTGCGATCTCCTGGGTGGGACACCGTTAGGCAGTTGAATGTGCATGCGTACTCTGTCTGTTTCCCTCCCCGCCCCCGTGGCCCCGGGCACTGGCAACCCATGCTATGTCCCTGCCTGCCAGGGTTGTTGTGAGGATAAAATGAAGAGGGGGAAGAACCGTGTTCCTGGAACCTAGTCCAACACTCTAACCACTACACCACACTGCCTCCCTTGTTAGAAGAAGCTGCACCTGCCAAACTTCTCCCTGTCCAGAAACACACAAGATGTTGCACCCTAACTATGGAGGATGAACACTGTCAAGCAGAAACAGGGAAAGGAAATTAAAAATCAGACAAGAAAGAGAGCGAGAGATACTCCCTGCTGGAGTATGCTGTTCTTGCTTGGAGAAACAGCTTTCATTCTGTTTTGAATGGCATCAGACCAATCCTGATTAGTGGAGCTGTTGGTTTGTTTAATAGGGTCTGGACTGAGCATCATCCAGCTTTCCATGCCCTGGATTGCTGCCCATGTTCTGCAAAGGGAATATATCCAAGCTCATATTAAATGTACATCAGTGGTGACTCTAACCGTATGCACTCCAGCGATGTTGTCTTGGCAGTGCCTTCCATGCTCAATTCATAAGAAATCATCTGGGAGAGGGTTGTCTCTCTGCTAAATATCTTTCTTCCTGGTGTTTAGGTTTAGAACGCTCAAGCCCAGCCACTAATCACACTGGAAACAACAAATAGCATTAGAAACATTACAACGATAGTTTTGATCAGAGGGCTGGAGATCAAGCTTATTTAAATGAGCAAGTGTTTTCAATTTGCATTTAAAGACTATTGGATCAAGCAGGCCCAGAATGAAGTAACAAGAGGCATCATTAAAATATGAGCTAGAACAAATGTAGGGAGGAGAGAATGGTTTTGAACTCAAAATTGTATCTGCAAATTAGGCATTGGGGTGGGGGCTAAATGTAAAATATGCACATAAATTAGCACAGTGAACGATTATTTTTTAAAATCAAAATTTAGTGCAAATTTCAAACGCTATCCATATTTTCATAGCCACTCATTAATATTTGAATTTGACCATCTCAAATACTGAAAACAAATTGCACAGCATCACCAGTGGATAAGGAAAGTGTAAGGGAAAAGGAAAGCTTTGAGGAAGGATGAGAAGTTCAACCATCAACTTGGTGGCCCTTTTCAGGTGTTCTACCTCAGTGAAGAGTGGCCTTCCTCAACCTGGGGCCTTCCCTAGGTTTTGGGTTACAACTCTCCTCAGCTCCATCCAGTGGCCATCTTTGCTGGAGTTGATGGGAACTGCAGCCCTGAAAATTGGGGGGGGGGACAGCTGGTTGGTCAATGCTGGTATGGAGGAATCTCATACCACAGGGACAAGTATGCTATCTCTACCACTACCCATTATTGACCACATCACCCTCCATGAAGTGGAGGGAGACTTCCAGTTTTCCAGGGTCCCAAAATGTGTGTTGGGAGGCTCCATGAGAACAGGAGAAACAGTCATAGCTTCCCTCCAAGGTTTCTGGTAGCTGTAGTTTGTTAAGACACCAGAAAGCCCTTAGGAGACCTCTATTTAGGTTGGTGGAGAAGTAGTAGCAGCAGCAGAAGTTTCCGGTGAGTTCTTGGGGGGCTTGCCAGATCTCACTGTTTCCCCCACGGGCAATGCCACGTGACCCTGGTAAGGGAAGCAATGGGTGGTGGTGGCAGGGCCATGGTGGCGGCACCTTCCTGTTTTACCTCAGGCCATGAAACGAGATGCATCACCCCTGCCTCTATTTCCCACCCCTCAAGGAACTACAATTCCCAGAGATCCCTGTGAAAAAGGATTGATGGCTAAACCAGTCATGGAAGGTAATGAGAATGACGGCAATGGGGGTGGGTGGACCTGGCCTGCTCAGCCTCATGCCTTTCCCTTGCATGATTACTCTGCTGAGCATCTGAATGCCTGAATTGGGCTATTGATTTTGAGACAATGATGAAACATCCAAGCAAACAACAAAACCAGGGAGGTGGTTAGAGAGGCCAGATTGGAGCGAGAAGAGCAGTTCAAGGGGAGAAGCCTAGAGCTGGGCATCATCTGTGTCCCGCTGGTACTGAAAACCATGGGATTCGATGTCACCCAGCGATACTGGATAGAGAGAGAAGAGAAGAGAAGAGAAGAGAAGAGAAGAGAAGAGAAGAGAAGAGAAGAGGAGGGCCAAGGACAGATTCTTGAGAGACTCAACAGACAGAGGAAAAGCAGAGAGAGAATATCCAGCTATGAAAACACTGAAAGAATGATTAGATGGTTAGAAGGAAAGCCAGCTAAGTACAGAATCATGGAGGCATAGGCAGGGACAAAACTAGGCTTCATTTCACCTGGGTCAAAGGCCTAGTTTGGCTCCCCTCTGGAGGCAAAAACCTGGCTATCCCCCTATAGCTACAGCTCTGCCATAGGGCATGAAGGGAGTCCAAGTAGCATAGAGTGGTCAGCTATATCTGCATTCTAGGGGGCTGATCTAGATAACCCTTTAGGTCCCATCCAACTTTCTGAATGGAATGGGCTGAATGGACTGAATGGAAGCCTTTCCATACATAGGAACACACACACACACACACACAGGTAAAGGATCCTTGGATGGTAAGTCCAGTCAAAGGCAACTGTGAGGTTGTGGCACTCATCTCTCTTCAGGCTGAAGAAGCTGGCATTTGTCCACAGACAGCTTTCTGGGTCATGTGGCCAGCAGAACTACAATGCTTCTGGCGCAACATGACACCATGACAGAAGCCAGAGTGCACAGAAACACCGTTTACCTTCCTGCCATAGCGGTACCTATTTATCTACTTGCACTAGTGTGCTTTCGAACTGCTAGGTTGGCAGGAGCTGGGACAGAGCAAGGGGAGCTCACTCTGGTGTGGGGATTCAAACCGCTGACCTTCTGATCGGCAAGCCCAAGAGGCTCAGTGGTTTAGACCACAGCGCCACCCATGTCGATAGGAACATATGGAGTTGCCCTGTACCGAGTCAGACCATTGGTCCATCTAACTCAGCAGTTGTCTACACTGACTGGGTTGAAACAATTAGCGGAGCATTAAAGCTGGAGATTTCTAAAGGTGGATGAATCAGAGAGGTGTTTGTAAGGATGGGCACATTTTTCAGTTTGGGTTTCTCTCTCGGTTTCTCGTGTTCCTAGTCTTAAGTTCAGTTTTGCACATTTTCCCATCCGCTTGCTTTTTAAAAATTTTTTAGGAGTCCTCATGAGAATTCATTAGCATTATAGCACAAATTTCTCACAATATACACATTTTTGTATGCCATTTTGCCTGATGTACACATTTTTGCAAAGCATATTTCCCCTAATATTTAGATTTCTCCTAGTATAATGCATTTTCATATGCTGGTTTCACTGATATATGGATTATCATGCACACTTTTACCCCAGTATATACATTGTGTACACATTGTCTGGCATTGCAAAATTTGGAGAAGTGTGAATTTGGAAGGATGGCTGCGTCTCGTTTTTTTGCTTATGGGTTTAATAAGTGTGAATGAGGGAGATTTGCCTTTTAATGCAAACAGAATTGTATTTCTCCCCCAACCTTGATGCTTAAAAATAATCTCTTCTTTCATGTTCAACCATAACCTATCTAGATGCCATGAATTGGCCTTTATGATACCTCCGTGCCTTGTAATACAAACCAGCTTCCTTAAAATTGGTAAACAATGGCCCAAACTGAACATTAATCTCAGGTAATTTTTGCATGTAGAAAGCATAATGTTATTTTTACACTCTGCCAGTGAGCAAAGGGTGGCCAGACTGGTTCTTTGGAAACAAGGAGCTTGCTAAAGACAGAGAGCATTTCTCAGCTGCAAAGCAAACACAATGTACTGAACACCCACAATGTGACAATAAATAATTTTAACGTCAATCAAAGTGGGAGCATTGTCGTTGAAATTAAATGGAAAAGGGAGGGGGGGGAGAGCTAGAGATAGGGGGTGTAAACCAAACAACCTGAAAAGATGCTAGGATATTTTAATGTGCTGATTGATAATGTTTTGCTTGGTTGTTTTTAAACAACTAATTTGCCTTAAATAAAAAATAAATAAATCGGGAATTTGATTGACTCTTCTAAAGATCCCCTTTACAAAGGGAAATACATATTTGGGGGGGGGGGAGAATCAGAAAAGCAGAGTTTGCAGGATGGCAAGCGTGGAAGCAGTGAGATGCTTCAAGAATAAAAGAAAGTGCATTAAACATGTTCAAATCAGGAACCTCAGTTTTTTGAACACACATACACACACATACACATATAATTGTCAAAATATACACATGCAATAAATAAATAAATACATACACCTTCTGTAAAAATAAAATAAATCCACCAACTCTCAAACATAAGAAAGAAAAGCAAAATGATATTCCTACACAGGACTGATAACAAATGAATAATCCAAACTAAAGAGAGAGAAATCATCATAATGATGTTCTAAACTTGGATATTATAGCATTCACTGGTGATGGTCAATGGCTACTCATTATTGGAGTACACAGTTGGCCAATCAGTGTAGATAATATTAAGCTAGATGGACCAATGGCCTGACTCAATGTAAGGTCACTTCCTACATTCTTTTTACGATGCTTGGAGTTGGTGGGTGAACAGGTAGTAACAGCCAGGAAAAGGATGAGCGGGGATGATGAGAGGACCCCTACTGCAATGCAGATCCTGCCTGCTGCCTGCCCATGCTGACCCCTGATGCCAGCCCTGCCTGGAAATTCTACTACAGTCATACCTCTGGTTACAGATGCTTCGGGTTGCACGATTTCGGATTGCGCACTGCACCGAACCCAGAAGTACTGGAATGGGTTATTTCCAGGTTTCGGCACTTGCACATGCGCAGAAACACTAAATCGTGCTTTGTGCATGTGCAGAAGCACTGAATCGCGACCTGCGCATGCACAGACATGGCGCTGCGGGTTGCGGACGCTGCGGGTTGCGAACGTGCCTCCCGCACGGATCACGTTCACAACCCGAGCGTCCACTGTAATGCCATTTCAACTTGAGTAGCATCCATAATTTTCAAACACAGGGACATCGGAAGCTGTCTTATGCTGAACCTGACCATCGGTCCATCTAGTCCAGTATTGCCCACACTGACTGTAAGCAGCAGTTCTCCTGATAAGGGTTCTTCCCAGCCCTACCTGGAGGTGATGGGGATTGAACCAGGAACCTTCTGCATGGAAAGCAGAAGCTCTACCACTGAGCTACCACCCTTTGCCATGGCTCCCCTTCCTCTTAGCATTTCCTCTCTCTTTCCATCCTCCAGCCATCAGACTCTTATTTTTTTGCTCAATTGCACAGCTCGCAGATGGAATCTCTCTCTCTCTCGTTAACTGTGTGATGCACAGTCAGAGGAGTGGAAGAATTACATTGGGCTGAAAGTGGTGTTTACTTTTACAGGCTGCAAAAAATAGATTTGGAGAGGGGGAACGGGGGTGGGTGGGGGTGGGTAGGGAAAGTGAAAGCAGGAACTGAAACTATAATTAGAATAAACAGCATATAAATGGCCAGGTAACCATTGATTATACAGTGTCATCTCAGCCAACATCTGTTAGTCAGGAAACAGCGAATGAACTTGTCTCGTCTCTACAAGGACTACCAGATTAAAATTCCTCATACCGTACACATGGCATTCTAAAGCGGTGGGCATTGACATAAGGGGTATTTGTTGTGTGCTAAACCACAGAGCCTAGGACTTACTGATCAGAAGGTCAGCGGTTTGAATCCCCCTGACGGGGTGAGCTTCCGTTGCTTGGTCCCTGCTCCTGCCAACCAAGCAGTTCGAAAGCTCGTCAAAGTGCAAGTAGATAAATAAGTACCGCTCCGGCGGGAAGGTAAATGGTGTTTCCATGCGCTGCTCTGGTTCACCAGAAGCGGCTTAGTCATACGGGCTACATGACCTGGAAGCTGTACGCCGGTTCCCTTGGCCAATAAAGCAAGATGAGCGCCGCAACCCCAGAGTCAGCCACGACTGGACCTAATGGTCAGGGGTCCCTTTACCTTTACCTTTATGGAGTGACAACGGTCTGGAATGCTGGATGAGGTTTTAAGAGGAATATTGTGGGGCCAGGGCTGTGTTTGTGCCCCATGTGCTCCTGTGTGGCGGCCGGTGCCCATTGGGGCTGGGAGGGCAGGAGGCGGGGAGACCAGCAGTTGGTGGATTCAGAGCCAATGACAGGCAGAGCCATCCCCTGATTGGTTGTAAGAAGGCAGGCAGGTGAGGGCAGGCTAAGGGCAAATTGAGATTAGTGGGGCAGTGCCAGAATTGCCCTAATCGAGTAATCACCATTGATGCCATGGGAACAGTCAAATGCAATGAATGCAGCATTTGGGTTTGAAACTTAGCCTCTGTTATCTATCTGCTTGCCTGTCTAACCACCCATTCTTTCAGGTTCCTAGTCCTTATGCTTTGAAAATATACTTGCATGTGGACAATGCCAGGTGAATCTCTGGAGCGAATGGGGCTTCATTCTTTCCCTCTAATTAACAGAAACACATGCAAAACAGGTTTGGTTTTTTTTACTTCAAGGAAAACAGAATCAACTCCCAAAGAAAAGAAATGGTACAATTATGGCTTATCACACTACTTAGTATTTATAATGGGCTTTGGAGAGTTGAGCACGCTCCATTTGCACAATCTTATTATGCGCCTTTAAAACAGCCCTGCAAGGCTGCTCAGCTTTGTTGCCATGTTGCAGATGGGAAGCTGAGGCTGAAAGAGGTTTGCCCAAGGTTTCCTAGTGAATTCATAACCGAGCCAATATTCAAAATGTCACCTTCTTGGTTTGTGGCTCGGTCTCATTTAGAGCTACAGGAGGCGGAATGTCTACATGGATCACAGATTTCACATTTTGCTGGTGCAGACTGTAGGTTACCATGGCGCAGTATTTGTCCCCTCAGCACGAACTTCATCCTACATAGTTTGTTTTTAGTGAGCACTTTCAGAATAGCCGCCTCCCAATTTCCTTATTTGTTCCATCCCAAAGAATCTTATGGGGAAGGTCCAATTCCTTTGGCAGGCATTTACATAAAAAGAAATGGCATTTCAGGGAGAGAAAAATAGATTGGGTGATTATGAGATGCTTCTAATGTTAGTCATATTCAGAATAGACCAATGCAAATTAATGGACATGACTCACTTAGGTCTATTTGTTTCAATACATCTGCTCTGAGTTGGGTAGAACCAGTGCTTTTTTTTTGAGGGTATGCAGGTGTATGCACACCCCTAAACATTTAGTGAATCTAAGTTTGGCCTCATTGAGGGGCAGACTTTCAATATGAGTAGGAAAATGAGAGTACCCCTAAACCTTTTTTAAGAAAAAAAGCACTAAGTAGAATCTTATATTTCTCTGCCTCCTCTTCCAAATACAGTGGAAGCTTGGGTTGCAAACGTGATCCGTGCGGGAGGCACGTTCGCAACCCGCAGCGCCGCATCTGTGCACGCGTGGGTTGCAATTTGGCACTTCTGCGCATGTGCAAAGTGTGATTTAGTGGTTTGCACATGCGCGAGCGCCGAAACCCAGAAGAAACCTGTTCCGGTACTTCTGGGTTCGGCGCAGTGCGCAACCCGAAAACGCGCAACCTGAAGCGTCTGTAACCCGAGGTATGACTGTAGGTATTCAGAAAAGAACCACCCTTTTACCATTATTATTGTTATTATTATTAATAATAATTTATTAGGAACAAAGGAAGCTGTCTTATACTGAATCAGGCTATTGGTCCATCTAGCTAAGTATTGTCTACTGGCAACGGCTTTCCAGGGTTTCAGGCACAGAGTTTTATCCCAGTCCTTCCTAGATATGCTGGGGATTGAACCTGCGACCTTCTGCATGCAATTGAGCTCTGCCCCTTCCTAGAAACACAGCGGACAATTAAGCAAAAAACATGAAGAAGCCTTATATTAAAAATATAACGGGTGATATTCAACCAAGTTTTACTCTGAGCAGATCCATTGACATTAACAGACCTAACATAGTCATGTTCACTCTGAGTAAAACTTAGTCAACTACCACTCAGTATATTTACTGAAACACTATGCTTTACGGAGCATAACCACCATGGCTAGCAACTGTGTGTAGTGTGTGTGTGTGTGTGTGTGTGTGTGTGTGTGTGTGTGACAAAATAAGTTTTTTTAAAAAAAAATGGGCTCACAAACTTTTTATTTTTATTTTATTTTAATTTTTTATTTTCTTTCTTTCTTTTTTTAAACAGTAATTTCAATTTATTTTACTTTGATTAAATAAAAAAACCCCTTGCTTTAGACACTTTGGGATATAATTTTTTGGATGACATGCTTGTGTATTAAAAATTAAGTCATTGTATAGAAACAACAAAAACTAAAATGTGGTTGTTCCCTCCCCATCTTTAACCTAGTGATGGTCAGAAGCAAATCTGTAAGCCTCCAGAAAAAAGGTGGTATCAACATTATTTCAATGCACAATAGAAGACAATCTTGGAACAGACTCCATCAGCTCTGCAGCCACTGCCAACCCCAACTGCAGCTCCTGGTGGTTTCCACAGTTCAGTTGTTTCCTGAGCTCTTCTGTTCTGAGCTGGTGGATGTTGCCACAGCAATGGTGGGGACCAGTGCAGCTTCGTGTGCAATGCAATCAATGTTGGTCTTCACAAAGGCAGCCCCTGCCTTTTAGTGAGGCCTACCAAGAAGTCCTGCTTTGGCAGCCAGAGCTTCATTCTGCTGAATGTGGTATAGTCATACCTCATGTTACGTTTGCTTTGTGTTACGTTCTTTCAGGTCACGTCCCACAGCAACCCGGAAGTACCTGAAAGGGTTACTTCTGGGTTTCGCCACTTGTGCATGCGCAGATGTGCAAAATGATGTCATGCGCATCCGCAGAAGCAGAGAATTGCAACCCACGCGTGCGCAGGCATGCCGCTGCGGGTTGCGCTCTTTTCATGTTGCGAACAGGCAAATGTTTAATGTCCCACCTGTAGCATAGGAATGGTGTCTGAGTCTCCACCCTTCTCCCAAAACAGGCCCAAGCAAGTTGGTATGCGTCTAGATTTCTCTCTCTCTTTTTTTAAGGGAGTGCTTTGCCACACTGCCATCTAGCGGTAGATTGCTGAGGTCAGTTTTTCAAAAGGAAGAAAATGGAGGCCTTAGAAAGGCAGTGCAGCTTGCTCTTAGACTTCACCATCTTTCCTCATCTTGGTGCCTTCCAGATGTTGCTGTGCTGACTGGAGGTGATGGGAGTTTTAGTCCCAAACATCTGGAGTGCACCAAGTTGGGGGAAGGTTGGACTGGACAGTATGTACGTACATTCAAAACAGTGTGTTATTCCTGATGGGCAGAGGAATAACAGAGTCAAATCCAAAAGGAGATGTTGTTGCTGTTGTTGTTGATGATGATGATAATGGTATCTATGCAATGAAACATGCTAAAAACGTATCCTTTGTTTGCTTGCTTTTCTTTAAATTCCCAAACCGCTACAGCTTCCACTTCCTCTTTAAAAACAAACAAACTCTAGTTAATCATCATTAGGGTTGTTGCCAACTGACCCGGGATACAAGTCTTGGAATGCTCTTTTCCCTTTTTAATAGCCCCTCGATCCATAGAAATTAGCCGGCAAACATTTTTACAACATGGAGAGAAGCATTATATAACCTGCTGGTGTTTGCAGATCAAACTGCTGTTAAAGCCACAGAAGCAGATTTGTGGGGTGCAGTGGGGGGGGGTAGGAGAAGTTGGTAGCTTTATCCACCTCACATTCTTATTTAGCAAGAATAGGGTCGACTTTCTGATTCCTGACCCTGGCAAAATGCTGCTCCCATTTTGCACTGTGGGGGGTTCACTACACACCATGACAGTTCCTCCCCTCAGTGCATGCATGGAGAGCTCAGTCCTTCTGTATATTATCTTTTCGGTGCCTGCTAAATACATTCCTCTTTCAACAAGCTTTCTGAATGGAGATCTTCATTACAACTGGTCCCTGTATTGGATTTAAATTGATTTTATGTATGTGCCAATAAATATGTGTGCGTGTGTTTAGCAAGTGTTTTAATTCTTTTTATCAATGTATGCTTTTATTGTACTGTAAATTGCTTCAAGATCCCTCATGGAAAATAATAATAATAATAATAATAATAATAATAATAATAATAATATGGACCTGGTCTGCAGTGGAGCACTGCACTCCCCCACTCCTCACTCTAGGGTCTCAATCCAGACCTCTCTCTCCTGCCCTCCTATCTCCCATGCACACAATGTGCAGCTTGGTTCACAAAGACTTTTAAAAATGGTCTTCAGAGACTGGCATATGTTTAACCAATTTGCTCCTGACACCAGGTTTCATGAGGAGTGTTTGCGAGCATAGCATCATTTCAGAGAACGGGGGTAAGGAAAGATTTTCAGCGATGTTTCCAGACCTATTTCGTGATATGTTAAATATTAAATTGCGAAGAAAGGACATCTATTTTAGGAACATAGAAAGCTGCCTCATGTGGAGCCAGATTCATTGGTCTGTCTAGCTCAGTATTGTCTACTCTACACTGGCTGGCAGCGGATCTCCAGGTTTCCAGGCAGAGGACATTCTCTATCCTGCCTGGAGATGCCGAGGGTTTGAACCCAGAACCTTCTGCATGCAAAGCTGGTGATCTGCCACTGAACTATAGTCCTTCCATTGGCTTAAGAGCATTTGCTGTGTTTATACATTAATGCCTCTTAATAGTGATAGGAATGTTACCAACACAGGTCGAACGGCAGTTGTCCTTGCTTTTCAGTACTCGTAGCTCTGGAGGCCAGGCCTGGTTAGGAGGGATGCTAAGTCTTTTGCAGCTCAGATCATGAGGTGTGAGGTGGTGGGGTAGCTGGCGAGTCTTCACTGCAGTTCACTAGTTTGCATTTTAACGCATGTTCCTCTCAACATACACATTGTTACAAGCAATCCCCCCTAGCCCAATGCGTCGCTGAATTATTTATCTATTCATTTATATACCGCTTTCTGGCAAAAAATTTTAAAAAAAGTTTACAATTCTAAAAACGAGTCGCACAAGCCTTAAAACATACACATCCATCATTACAACGCATAATAAAGCAATCTCATTAAAACATTAAAACAGAAGCATTAATCATTAAAATACGCCGTAAAAACTACCCCATTAAAAGAACGCAGTGATAAAAAGGAGGAGGCTTGTATGTTATTTTCCACTAACAAGCATTTTTATGCTCACTCTCTCCCCTCCAATATATGAAAATGTTGGACGTGCTTTCCGGCTTAAGAATCTCATTGCAAAATTCAGAGAGGTGCAAATTTTGAAGGCTAGCTGCATTTCATTTCCCGCATTGTTTTGGGACGTGTGAATGCTCGGAGGCAACAAGGCTTCTGAATATGAGTTGCAGGATGCGACAGTGCTCTTGTGGTCGGGTCCTGTTTGTGGTTGGCCCCTGTGAGAACAGGATACTGGATTAGATGGGCCTTTGGCCTGACCCAACAGGGCTTGTCTTACCTTCTTAAGGTTTGCATCAACATGCGAACCAAACTGAATTCCTTCTCCCATCCGTAGGCAGAGCTTGGGTACTAAGGCGTGGCATTTTGAGGATCACAGAGTGGAACCTGGTGTTTTTCCTTGTTTATTTTTCATTATAGTTATCCCCCAGCCCCCAATCCTTTGTGATTTGAAGGGTGCCTTATTATATTGTACGCTTCCTCGGGCATTTTGTAAATGGAAAGGTGTGTGTGCGTGAGAGAGAGAGAGAGAGAGACAGAGAATAAAACTGATTTGCATAAATAATCAGGTGGACCAGATGGAGGGTTGTGGCTGTTGATTCCTTCCTTTCTTTCCTCCTTGGTTGGCTAAACACAAAATGCCAGCCTTGCCACTTGCCTTCCACCCCGCCCCTCTCTAATCGCTGATCCAGAAAGTCAATGTTGTTAGAGGTATTCATGGAGGAGGCAGAGAGGAGCCTTCTGCAGCATCTCAGACAGGGTGGGCGCACCCCAGAGAGTAGGAAGCAACCCTTTGGTGTGAGAATAGGAGTGGGTTTCACCGGGGACACATAGAGTGGCCCTGTCTTCAGCCGCGATGTGACGGAGGGCACATATCACGGCAGCAGTTGGCTTGTGTGCGTTGACTCCCTTTGATACGCACAATTCCATGCCGTATTAGCAACCCGTTTTCTCATGCCGTGACAGGGCAGTGTGTGTGCCTACACACACACACACACACACACACACACACCCCGCCCTAGTATATGCCTGCATTGTTGTGGTTGGTGGTTTTGAAGATTTCCCCTCACCAGAGGACAAGGAGGCTGGCTGACACAGTGAGCTCTTTGTCTGGCGGTGTTGCCCGCCTGTCATACAGCTCCAGTCATCCTCGTTTCCTAGCCATCTTTCACAGAACACAGAGACTTTGTGGGGAGCCGCCTCGGAATTTTAATGTGCCTGATTTTTCAAGCCGGAGACTGAAATAATAACATGCACAGCTTGTGTCCCTTTGCTGAGCCGTTCCCTTAATGCAATGGATAAACAAATAAACAGAACAATCTCCTCAACACAGAATGGGGAAAGAATGAAAGGAATGGTATGGAGCGCTCTCAACAAACAGAGGGGTTCCATATTCCCAAACTCTGGAACGCTCATTTCTCTTAGGACACATACCCTCCCCCCTCCACCTCCATGCCAGAAGCTTTCCTTAGTAGGAAATTGGTGTCTGGATCTATCGATTTCTGGTTCTCCCATTTTCCCAATCTTAAATTCAATTCTCCACATTTCTGCAGCAATTTGTGATTTTTGTTTGTTTATTTAATTCCTTATGAAAATTCTTCAGGGTTTGAGTTTAAATTTCTCTTAATGTACACATTTTTCCAAAGCAAGTTTTGACTAGTATTTATAATTTCCCCAACACAATGGATTTTTGTATGTTGTTTTCATTAATATTTATGTATATACACACATTACCCTCCTATATGCATTTTTGTACACACTGACGAGCTGGAGAACTACAATGAAAAACTGGGGAATGTGTAGATTCGAAGGATGGCTGTGTTTCAGTTTGTGCATTGTTTCAGAAAGGGAGAATTTGGTAAGTTTGCTTTTAAATGAGAACTGAGTTGAATTTCTCCCCTGCCCCTTGGGGTTCCTTTCACAGAGGCAGAGGCAGCAACAAAACTGAGTGCCATGTTTCCTTGGTAGAGCCAGGACTTGCTCAGTCTTTTGGTAGAAGGAAATTGATTCAAGGAGCTTCTAGATGGTTGCGATTTTCCAGTGGGATTAAATCTCATATTGGCAAATTCAGGTTGCACAATTAAAGTCAACCTGGCAATCTTGCTCAACAAACACACTCCCCCAAAACAACAGCAACAACACCAGATCAGGCCTTTTTGTGATAAGGAAAGTGATGGGAAGTTGCACTAGAAAGTGTGGGATAACAATTGCTTGATGCATCATGTATCCTCCCCGGAAGCAAATCAGCATTAACGCTCAATAAATCATCAGCATCTTCCAACCTTCCCACAAACTTTGTGCAAACCAATCAGGATGAATGCTCAATAACCAGGTCATCTGGAAGCAATCCGAGAGTGGGATATCTGGGATAATTTGTTCACCATGGACCATCCAACTACATCTCCCCTTCTTCTGACTTATGTTCACGTTCTGCACTGTCCATTCTCTGAAAATAGGCTGCAATCCTATTCATGCTTACATGGGAGTAAGCCTGGTTGAGCACAGTGAGGCTGACTTCTGAGTGAAGATTTGTTTATTAACTTGGTAGCCTGACTTTCCACCAAATGGTGCTGAAGCAAGTAGTAGTTGCTTTAAATGTATGGTGTAGATGTGACATCTCTTTACCCTTTGATTGTCTCTGAGATAGTGTGCAACCTTAGGTGTTTGTAAACACAAGGAAATAGGAATCCGTCTTATACTGAACCAGACCACTGGTCCATCTACTCTATTCCGAACTTAAAAATGGAAAGCGTAATGCTGGTGGTCAACAAAAGAGGTTCAAAGACTCAAGGCAAATCTACAAAAATGTAGTATAAACACCGACAATTGGGAAACACTGGCCTGCGAGCACTCGAACTGGAGAACAACCTTTACCAAAGGTGTCATGGGTTTTGAAGACACTCAAACTCAGGACAAAAGGGAGAAATGTGCTAAGAGCAGCCTTTCTCAACCTGTGGGTCCCCAGATGGGAGTTGTAGTCCAACAACATCTGGGGATCCACAGGTTGAGAACCACTGGCTAAAAGGAAGGCACATTTGACAAATCCTCACCGTGATCAGCTCCCACCCAGAAACCTATGTCCCCACTGTGAAAGGACGTATGGATCCAGAATTGGCCTCCACAGCTATTTATGGACTCACTGTTAAAACCGTGTTTATGGAAGACAATCTTACCTAGCTACGAGTGATCGCAGAAGAAGAGGACCATCTAGCTCAATATTGCCTACACTGGCTGACAGTGGCTCTCCAAGATTTCAGTCCCAGTATTACCTAGTGATGCCTGGGAATGAACCTGGGACCTTCTGGCTGCAAAGTAGATGCTCTTCTATTGAACTTCAGCTCTTCCCCATATCATCAATGCATGTGGAACTTTACAGCAGAAGGAGAGACGGACACAAAGACAAAGACAGACAGACAGAGAGTGAGTCCTTGCCTCAAGTAACTTACAGTCTCAGATTTGACAGGGATAACTGAAAGAAGGGGCAACATTGATAATTTACAGCACTGTCTAAGTCACTGCCGGTTTAGCCATCCTACTAGTTACCGCATGTAATTAGTGGCATAATAAAAATACAAAATTAGGAATTATGATAAAGTATGAATTACAGCTTCACAAATTGCTCATTACAACATCATAAATGAGCAGACTGTGAACTTCAGTTATTACAAGTCAGGAACATTTTTCAACACCAAGCAAAGTTCACTAGGGTTCTCAAACAGTACACATTTTAATTCAAACATTCTTCAAAGAGATGAATGTGCCAAGCCGGTTTCACAGTTTTGCAAGCCCCACTGCAAATCTCTCTGGTTCTTGAAACGTGGTCATGGATCATCTCCTAAAATGGCCTGATGGTTTTTATAATCGTTTTCTGAAACGTGTAAAATCTTGCATTTTGTTCTAATCATTAGCCATTGTTGTTCCCCATGCGGCTAGCTCAGAGTTTGCTGGGAAATGGCATGAACATGGCTTTGAGTCAACCAGACACCTTGTAAACTCACAATCTACAGTTCCGCCTCCCGATCAAAATGATCAAGGGGAGGGAAGGTTGCAGCCTCTGATACTTTTCAGTTTGGAGAAAAGGTAAGAGCGAGGTGACACGAGCTGAATCTAAATATATATTTTAAAAAAAACACTGTGAAAATGCTTTTTAAATAAAACGTTCACAAATATATATTGAATTTGCCATTAGCTCACCATCGCCATCTAGTGTCATATTTGTACAATGCACTTAAAACATTATATTTGCAGCTATATAGCTGAGTCCACAATATAAGTTTCTGATATGCAGGTATTCCTGTTATATACCTGCTGGGATTGACAAGGCATATGACCCTCACCTGAATCTCATAGCTCTCCTGACAGGTGATTTGGTCTGCAGCCACAGTGTGGAAATAAAGGAGGAGATTGTCCACCAGATGCCAGGCACTCTATTATTCAAATTAGGTCCCAGTGTTTTTCT